CGCCCGCCCCACCGGGGCCAAAGGGAGAGAGAGAGAGAGGGAGGGAGGGGAAGGGGCCTCTCTCACCGCAGCCGCGCAGCAGCCTGCAAAACGGAGCCTCGCCCACAGAGCCTGGACAGCCCCCGGCAAGGAAGAGGGAGGAGGAGCCCGCCCACCCGCCAGCCAGCGCCGAGAAGGGAGCCCAGGGCCGGGGGCGCCTCAGTTGGCCGGGGAGGAGGGGGGACCCGGACCGTCGCGGGCTGAGCGCGCTGGGGGGACCTGCGTCAGGGAGGGGGGCAGCGAGGGGGCCGCCGCCGGCTGGTAGTTCAAGCGGGAGAGGCGTTGCCCTGTTGCCTCAGCCCTGCCGCACGATTCCTGACACCACCACGATCGCTCTGCCTCCCCCCCCCGCGAGTATCGCGGGTCCACCTCTTGTTATAAAGTAATTTTGTAAGATGTTTAAATGGAAAGTGGAAATGGGGAGCTGTCACATCAGGCCTGTAGCTACAGCGGGACATTTCAAGGCCCAGCCCCTCCCCAACTTCCTGTCAAGGCCCCCCAACTTCCCCACCTGCCAGCAGCCCTGCTAGCTCTGTCCTGGGCTGGCATTTTGGGGGAGGGGCTGTAGGTCCCAACCTGGTGGTGGCGATGGCGGTGCAGCCAGGTGGGGCCAGCGGGTGCAGGGAGGCAGAAAGAGTTTGTTTTAGTCATAGACAGCTCTCTCCCCTCCACTCCCACCAGCTCGGGCAACCTCAGCTGCTGCAAACTGAGGGCAAAGCCCTCCTCTCTCCAAAATTGGCTTGAAAATCAAATGCTGGACAGTGGGCACAGAAAAATGCATCCCTCAACATGCACAGAGTTACCCATGGGAAGGCAAGTTGTGGGTTCCCGGGGATAGTAACTCGTTGCCCTGTGCATGGGGGTTAGAAGCTGTGAACAGTTTAAAGCTAAATCTTTCATGAACTCAGAGTCAGTGACTTCTGTTTACACTAGGTTTGCCAAGTCCATCTTCCGCCCCCAGCGGGGGACTTTGGGGGTATTCCTGGAGGGGGCAGGGCATCCCTGACGTGATGACGTCATGTCGAGGACATCCACTGCCCCCCCGCCCGCCGGATCTCCAGAAACACCAGTTCCCTGCACTTAAAGGAGCTGGCGTTTCCCTTTTAAGTGTACGAGCCGGCGATTCCCTTTTAAGAGCAAAGAGCCAGCGTTTCCCTTTTAAGTGCACGAAGCTGGCATTTCCCTGCAAGCCTGATCTCAAGCGGAAATCGGGCTTGGGAGGAAACATGGGTTCTATGCACTTAAAGGCAGCCACCCTTCTTTCTCAAGAGAGAAGGGAGAGAGGTGGCTGTGGGTGTTGGGGGCGGGGCTTCCCCCGCCGGCCATCTGGTTGGTGGTGGGTAGAACCCCCCCAAAATAGGGGACCCCTGGCAAACCGGGGGGTTGGCAACCCTAGTTTACACCCATCCTCCACAATATGGGAAATAATCCTACTCCTGCCTCCTCCAACTGAGCATGAGGCTTTTAAAATTTTATTTTATCAGTGCCCCCCGATTGATTCAAAGGCCCCCCGGATTAAGAAATCCTGGCTAATCCTGTGTCACATGCCAAAAAAAGAGAACTCTGGCAAATTAAATGACAAACCACTTAATTTGTATGAGTATTTGTATTATTTCTGCGGTTTAACACATATTTTGTCTGAATTCTTTCTGTACAAATAGATATTCCACTGGTGATGTCATTGAAGGGACTGTTGTCTCAGTTTTGTTCCATATCTTCAGAATCAATAAAATAAATGTGTGAAATGTCTAACATAGTGGGCCCCATGGCTTCAAGTCAAGTATATTTCTCTTGTTAATGTGATTCAAAGGATTGTAATTGGCATCTCAGCATCCTATATTTGTAAAGCATCCTCTCTTTTGTACATGTGCATACTTTTTTAAAAGCCACGGTGAATTTTTAGGTGATAAATGATAACTTGTTCCAATAGATAAGGTCTTGGGTCTTTTGAGGCCTAAAAGGTCTTTTGAGACCTAAAAGCAGCCATTTAATCACTGGGTAGCCTTGTTCAGGTCAACATAACTTAAGAGGCTATTTTAATTGTACAATCATGACCTTTTTGACTGTTTTTCATTGGTGTAGTAAATAGATCAATTTATTTATTTATTTATTTTAACCCCCTCATCCCCCCTTCACAGCCCTGTGAGGTACGTTAGGCTGAGAGTGTGTGACTGGCCCAAAGTCAGCTAGCAAGTTTCCGAGGCAGAGTGAGGGTTCAGACTTTGGTCTCCCACATCCTTGTCTGACATGCTAAAAATTATATTGTACTGGCTCTGAAGATTGTGGTATACTTGTCCTTGGCATATTACTGCTCAGAATTACAAGTGATCACCAGAGTAGAGAGATCATTCCCCTGGAGGAAATGGCTACTTCAGACTCTATGGTATTATACCTGATTAGTGTCCCACCCCCACCTTTCCCAGGCTCCATCCCCCAAATATCCTAGAATTTCCCAACATGGAGTTGGCAACCCTAGCGAGTATGTGCACGCACACTTTTCCTTTACAGCTACAGCCTGCCTGGCATGCAATGGAAAGGGTGGCTTTTTGGCTTCACGCAGAAGGGAAGAGAAGCTGGGGAGACTCCCCTCTACAGATACAGAAACTGACTCCCCTCCCCCTTGCTGAGCCCAGTTAAAGGAGAAGGCAAAACTGTTGCCAGCAGCAATTCATTATCACCATTTTACAGTGATTTTAAAATGCCGTGATGCCCCAATACACCGTGGGCTTGTTGGTGCTGCTGTCATGCCCCCTACCCCATCTGATTCCAACCACCTCTGAACACTTGCCATCAGGCTAAAATAGAGGCCCAATTCTACCTCAATGTGCTACAGTGCTGCTGATCAGAGGAATCCATGACTGGCACAAGCTAGCAAGCTAAGGTGGGAAACGATCTGTGTCACATGCCTCCGAGCACAGCAGGAGCAACTACTTTGTGCAGGGAGCAAAGTACAAAGCAAAAGCCTGGGAGGGAGGCAGGAGGAGGGAAGGAGACGTCTTCTCCCATAGGCAGAAGACTTGTGACAGATTTCACACCAAACCCTAGTGCTGATTGAAGGGGCATGACAAATTATTGGTGGGGCCATGCACCGTTGTGTACCACCATTGCTACAGACCTGTTTGGAACACTGCTAATGTGTTTATGGAAACCTATATTTCAAACAATCAGATGGGAAGCAGATGGTGGATATATAGGAATAGAAGTTCTTTTAACAGCTGTAGTACAAAACAATGCAGTTAGTTATATGCCCTTCTATTACAATTGGCCTAATCCCCACACAAGAACATTTTACATCCTTCACTAATCTTCCCCCCCTGTTTATTTTCCAACTTTTTCGCAAGAGTATAAACATTTCATTTTCTTAGATTACATAAATTTTTAGAGTTGTTAAGCCAAATTACAATTTTTGTACATGATGTTAATTATTTACATATTTATCAAATTATGTTATTTATCCAATTATATACCCTTAACCACCTTTTGCTCTGTATTGTATGATCTTTACCTTTAAGTAACAAACTCAGATTATCCAGTTGTGCTAATTCTAAGATTTTTACTATTAAGTCCTCTTTTGAGGGTATTCTGTCTTCCGATTCTTTGCCACTAATATTCTCGCCGCAGTTGTAATATATACTAGTAAGTACAGATCCTGTTTAGCAAGCCCTTTTTGGTGTCATATTCAGTAAATAGATCCTTCACTAATCTGTTTTAATAGATCTACTGGATTACTAACAATTTCTAGACTTTTCAAACCTTGGGTTGTTTTCTCTCTCCACCCCACCCAAATTCCCAACTGAGTTTCTTTTGACTATTTTAATCTCTCACCAGTGAGTAGATTGAATTCTTAATAAATAACTGTTATTTATGAAGAGAGGTTGAGATGATTTCCCCCTATTGAGGGGCCTTCATGCCACTTGTAGCTGCTCTCACTTTATGTATTTGAGCCACACCAGCTATACCCATGAGGTAGAATTTTTAGTATAATTGCTGCTTGTTTATAGTAAACTGAACCTGACATCAGAACTGCCCCTGATGCAATTATGTCTCTAGTGCCTGCTAGTTTAAGCTTGTGAATGATGATATTCTTGTATCAAGAGAACAGGAAATGCTCTCTAAAAACCAGTCAAGAAAAACAATCCACTTGAATCAGAGGTATGTTCTCCCTTTGTCTGCTTGATTTTGAAGATGCATCGTGAAGATAACAGGAGAAATGGTGCTGTCATTTCCAGCAGGAATTACAAGACATTTTGCCAATAATCCTGCCCCAGCTGTTCTAACATTCCGTGTGACAAATTACAACAGGTTAGAACACGTCTTGCCAAATCCCCAACTTCTCTGCTGGTAAATATCATTCTATGTAAACTTTGAGACTTTTACAGGGGGGGAGGAGCTGTTTTTGTAGCCTGCACAAGAAACTGTTCATAGGTAGTAAATGTGATGTTGTGTTGTTTCTCTCTAAAATCTTTCAGTATTTTTTTTTAATGTCAGAACTAGGGATGGGCACAAACCAGCTGATGAACTAAAGTTTGTTGCAAATTTTGTCTGGTTCATGGTTTGTGAAGCCCTGTTCACCAACTGAAGAACTGCCATGAACTTCCAGAAATTTTGGTGCGATTTGAGGCTCTTCATGAAAAACAGCCATTTAAACCAAAAACAGCCATTTAAAACAGCCATTTAAATCAAACAGCTGAGCAGCAGTCCCTGCCACTCAGCTGTTTGGAAACCCTTGCTTTCTGCTCCCCATGAAAAGCATCCAAACTGGATCGGTTCACAAACCAACCTCCCGATTTTTATGGGTTCGTGGTTCAGCCATGAACCATGAACTGACCTGCAAAAATGCAGTTTGTGCCCATCGTTAGTCAGAACATTGTCACTTGAGCCCCTTTGCCAATTCTTCATTGGCAAAGCCAACTGTCAAGGTGCTTTCAGATGTCAGCTTTCTCCCATTTCAATCTGCAACTATACTTGCAGAAAGCAAACACACAAGCCTGATATCATCTCTGCTAGTTCTCATGCTAATCCCTGCCAATTAAAGAGTGAGTCAGCAACAGTTGAATATAATTAGATATAGTGAATTTAAAACAGTATGATACCACATCTATGAGGTAATTCCACTTCTCAGCTGACAGTTACTATCACTGGCTAAGCTGACATCTGGAAGCACACTCCATGTCATTATGGCACTGACAAAAAAGAAATGACACCTCTCACTGGATCATGGCGGTCTTTGGCCTGCTGCCTCTTCTTCACCCAGTCCACAGACTCTGTGACTTGGGTCACTGATAGGCTTCCTCCATTAACTCTTTCTCCTGCCTATATAAGTGGTAGGTAGCTACTGCTGTAGTCCCAAACCAACCCTTTACTTCTATACTTCTTGGGGCACAGTCATGCATTCAGTTCCTGACACTGTAAACTCACTAAAGCTTGACATTTATCCATCATTCCTTTCACATTTATTCTTAAACCACCTTTTCATATGGGGAGATCTAATATTTTCTGCACTCTGTAGGCCATGAGTCCCAAAGCTTCTTTGGCTAGTGAGCGCCTTTGGAATTCTGACACAGGGTGGTGGGTCCAACCACAAAATGGCTGCTGCAAGAGGTGGAGCCAACCACAAAATGTCAGGGAGTGAGGTTATACATAAATCTAATTGTAACTCAACATTATAGGCAGAAGGATGCCTTTTAAAATGAACATATTGTTGGGAAATATTTTCTTGCATATACACAGCTTACATTGAAAATCCTTGTGTTATGGTGGTAGCTGCTGCTGAAGAAATTTTTAAAACATTTCTATATAGCCAATTGGTTTTCTAGTAGCCAATCAGAAGCCCCTGCCCCCACCCACTTTCTAAAAACACTTGGCAGACATCAGGAAAGGTATCGGCAGTGCCCATGACACCCACAGGCACCATGCTGAAGACCCTTGTTTTCACTGGGCCACTATGATGAGGTATCACTCAACTGAAGGGTTTTCAGAACAAATGTTCACTGATTAAAATCAATGCTGATTATGATTGATTGGGGAAATGACAGGTGATCTTTACAGCACAAAAGACAGTTGTCGTTAATTTAGAGGGGGGGGAGCTCCCTCTGGACGGCATTGTCATATTTGACTCTGACACTTAGCTAGCTGCTGCTGTTCACCCGCCCATAATGCACCTTCACCCTCTCTGTCTGTTGCTAAGATTATTTGTATGTTGTCTGGGTTTTTGTCCGGCCTCCTTATGTCATCATATATTACACCCTTTCTGTTGCTTCTGTTCCTTTTGTGTCACACAGCAAAAATGAGGCAATTAACTGTGCATGGTCATTTTAAAAAATTTGTTAATGCATTCTATAAATCAGCACAATATGACAGTACCCATTCTGAATACATGCACAAATCTGTTCACCTTGTACATGGTGTATTAATAAAGGAAACCATTGGTAAGTAGTTTGGAATGGAAGAGGCATACAAAATAACTGTTGCTTCAGATTCTACCAAATAAGTACAACCTGTGCATTGTGCAGCCATTTCCTCATACCTGAATGAACCTGTAATTGTTGAATATGGGGACTCAGTGGAAGAGAAAAAAGAAGTTTAGGGGGTGGGGCAGATTTTCAATGGACAAATGACTGGTTTGGAAAGAGTTAACAGCCTCTTCTTACTTACCAGTCTTTCTCTCTGCCTCAGAGCTGCTTGTTAAAAAAGAAAGCTATCAGGGAAAAGATTCATAAACCTGGTATTGTTACCTCAAATATGGGAGCATATGTGAACATTTTCACAAGTGGACCTCCAAACCCCTGGATCAAAGGATCTTTGGTCTGAGCTGAAATGGGTGCAAACTTTACCCTGGTAAAGATTTGAAACAGCAGACAGAGAGGCAGACAATACTTGAGTTTTAATCTTTATTGAACATAAAAATAACAGGAGAATATGCAGGAAAATGCAGGTGGAATGAAAGAACAATATAAAATAATAAATTTGGGGGAATTGCTGGAAAATGAGCTGGCCTATAGAATCAAACAAGCATTTGGGAAATGAATAGCAAAGAAAACCACATGATTCCTAATGAAAGCCATCCCAGTTATACAAGGTGTATTTCCTCAGGCTAGGCCAAAGCTAGAACCCACCCTTGGTGCTTGTATGATCTTACACTGTCCCAAGAGAGAGGGGAGGTAGGTCAGATGGTGAGGGCTCTCTTATCTATGAAAAGCACTCAGAAAGGAGGGAGGGAGGGAAGGGATATGTTTAGGGAGCAAGGAGACTAGGAAGAGGAATCATTGTACTGCAAACCTCATAATTGTAATTTTGATGAGTCCTCAGGAAGCCAAAAACTAGAGCTGTTATCATGGCGTCCAAGCTCCCAGGGAACCTGGCTACTCCCTTTTTGATTGCCGGTAGCCTGACCTTAATTTCTCAATGTTAACATCAAACATGGATCTCAGACTTCATATGGTCTGAGACATCATGGACGGAAGTGCTTCTTCTGACCCAGGGCTGCTTTTGGGGTAACAACATAAGATAGGAACTTTGAACCTTAAAAGATGGCTTTTGCCAGTGCCTTTCCTTCATCCTTTCCTTCAAAGGATAACCTTTCTATAACAAAAAAGTCATTTTGACCTCTCTTTGTGATGACTATGACAAATGTAAGTTCTGCTCATGAGAGTAACTACTACTTCTCCTTTTTATAAACAAATGCAGTGACAGTACGCAAGCTGATGCCAACACAAAGGAATTCTGGGTAAACATGCCAAATCTGATGACTCACTTAAAAAAAGTGTCTGAACAGAAACCCCAAGCAACATATTACAATGTGGATATGCTAAAATATCAGGTAAAGCCCTTGCAGAGATTAATCTGGTGAAAATGTTGGCTAACAATAATATTAATAGTTTGATATTAAACTGTTAAATGTTTGATCATGTTCACTTAGATGTATGGGATATTATTCCTCCTCTTTGTCACCCCGGGTGCATACCCATTGATGAAAAATTGAGGGGGGGGATTCCCTGCTCTACAACCAGCAATGTCTTCTATTCTTTTGGTCCTTTATGCATACTAAATGTTCCCTTTTTGTCATGTTTGTAAGGTATCAGCCCAGGGTATTCAATCTACTCCATTAAACCTGGCAGTGAACTGGCGGTGTGAGCCTACAAGCACTGATCTGCGCATTGACTACAAATATAATCTAGAGGCAATGACTACACCAGTCGCTTTAAACAACGTGCAGTTCCTTGTTCCCATAGATGGAGGAGTCACAAAACTTCAAGCTGTGCTTCCGCCTGCTATTTGGTATGAACCAGAGCTCACCCTCAACTTGATCTGTACCCTGTTCTTTTTTAATGGCTACAGCTGAGACAGACTTCTGGACAGCCTTAGAGGGATTCTGGTCAGCCATATCCATTATGAATGTTACAATGCCAATTAAAATCTTGGCACAATTCTACCTGAACAATCCCTCAGCTTTTAGAGCATAACTATATGTATGCACATGTGCACATGAGAGAGGAGAGAATCATAATGCTATTCCCCAGTATACTTATCTGGAAATAAATCTTGCTGAAATCAGCACAGCTTAATTCCATGTAATTATGATTAGGCTGACAGTGCAACAGTACTGGAACTTGAAAGTAAATGTGAGCATGGTCAGATGTATAGTATTAATGGGAGGCTTGGTACTTTAAAAATTATTCTGTTCCCCATAGTAAATGGATGTGAATGTTTTTACTTTGATCATCACCATCATTTTAATTATAATAAGACTTTATGGCCAAATTAGAGGGGACAGCAGCAGACCAATCTAGAAAAGTATTTGCTAAATAAAGCAGCCATTCAGACGTCTTTCTCCTTTACCTCATTTTGTTTTTATGTATCATTGTATTTTAGTTTTATTATGGACAGGAGGCCTTAAACGCTGGAAGTAGCCCAGGTCTCTCTAGACCTCTGCGAGGGCCTGTCCACATCCCTTTCTGCAGTGCAGGCAAACATTTGCTGAAGATGAGCAGTAATACATTCATCTACCCCACAGTGTATGAAAAGACTGCAAAAGACTCATTCAGTATCCCTAACCTTTGCATGAGTGCTTTTTCTTGTTTGTTGTTTTTAGGAATGCTGAGCAGCAAAGGATATTGTGGAGGATTCCTGATATTTCACAAAAATCTGAAAATGGAGGTAATAATGCAGGCCTCTCAAAACTCAGCCTTCTCTTCTCAGTCTTGCCTTCTCTAAGCCTACTGGTATCCATTAACCTCTTCTATTCCATCTTCTGTATTTTGTGTAGTCATCTTCTTTACTGTTTTGAAGGGGTGATGGAATGTGCTTAAGGGCTTAACTCAAAGATATGTGGGAAATCCATGACTGTCAGGAGAGACTTGATTTGCATTGACGCTGTGGTGTTGGGAGAAGGGGGTCTTGACTCTTTCCTTTTTTCCTCACCAGTGCTGTTTCCACACGGAAATTTGCAGCCCCAAGCTGTTCTAGCCTTGGTGGGGAAAAGGGACAGAGAGCCTAACCCTAGCTCAGTCTTCATCTATCCCTATGGTTGCCAGCTGCCTGGAACAATAATGTCCTGTACTGTCCCTTTAGTGGAGCCTAATGGAATGTTGTTTAGCAGGTGGTGTTATTTATCTCCATTGCATAAAAAACTTCACCTGTCCATTTCCATACATTAAGCCTCTGTTAAAGGGACAGGACATCTTTCCCCAGGCCTGCTGATAACCCAGTATGTTTTACATGTCATCTTGTTAAACTTAATGCAAATATAGTTTAGAGCTGAGTTGAAGGTGGTATGGTATTCATGTCATATACACACTCTTTGTTTTAAGCTACTGTCATTTCTGTTCAAACAAGGTTTTGGGAAGTTATGGCGGGGGGAACCTGCTGTCTGAGCCTGTCTAGATGATCCTTTTACCATGGCTGTTGGGAACTTCATGGTGAATGTCCTATTTGTAGACTAGGTCACAGAACCATATTAACTGTATACGTTGGGGTCATCATATAATGACTTTCCGTGCATCCTGCTAGTGTCCACCACTGGCATTGTTCATGGGAAGGGAAATTTTCTGACTGATAGTGCCAACCTACATGGTGAATTTTCCCGGGTTGTTGCCAGAAAGTATATACTATGGAGTCCACCATTTAAATGATTGTGTGGCTTTTCCCCTTTTTGGTCAAAATGGAGGGTGATTTGGCTGTTGTGTATTTGTGATATGAGACACAACAGACATTTGGCATGCCCCAGATAAAGAGAATAAGGCGTGCCTTTATGAATGTCAGTTATTTATAAACTTTTAGCCAAAACATAACTGACATCAGCTTCCATCTAAAGACTGTCATCCAGAAGGACTTTGTTCAAGAACAATTCCATTTACAGGATAATTGTCTAATCACTGTAGTAACACCTGGTCATGTAGAAGTTCCAGGAGATTTCATTAGTTCAAAGAAAAATTTCAATGACCAAGTCCATGTAATAACATTTATTTAAGACCAACTAAAATATCATAAAACTGCGTGCAAGCTTGCCAGTTATCCAGAGCTCTTCATCAGATTGGATGTTGAAGAAAGGGAGAGGATGTTTTAGAATGTGATCTTGTGACTGTTTCAGTTTTGAAAGGCTTAGGTTATAGGCTTTGGGACATAGGGCTGGTATCAGTCTCCTTGGCCTTCAAGGAAGAAATGTATTTATGCTGCAAACTATGGATGTAGGTTAAGCTATATTGGGATCGAGGAGGGGTTACTAAACTACCCAGATCACTCAACTGATGTTAACCAGTCTGGTTAACTAGGAATTTAGATTATTAAAATCAACTTTTGCGGTTTTTCCTTTTATAAGGAGAGACCCCAAGCACTGGAGTCAGTCAGCTGATTCCACCTAGTATGGCACGTCTCCGGGAAAATCAAAGAATGACTGACATCATAACTGTCATGGTAACTATGAACCTCTGGCCAGAATCTCTCTCACTCTTCTTTCAACTGCAATCTTAAATTCCTAATGTGTTTTGGAACTCTGAAAAACCTTACTTCATAAGGAAATGTTCTAAGTTGTCTAGTAAGAAATCTAATTATAAATTCTTCTTCTGACATTGTTGTATTTTTTTCATTTAATCATATGTCCATTTTCCTTAAAATCTTTATATTTAGATAAAGCATTTATAAAACTTCCTTTTTGTCTGATTGTTGATTTAAAGGATCGTCTGCAGGGGAATGCTGTTTTGGTAGCCAGTCACGCTAAGGAATTTGGGCATGGGAGAGCTTCCCTATCACCTGGGGAAATTTTACCAGGTGCAAAATTTGTCACACAAATATCAATACCCATGGCAAACATAACATCTAGACAGGCTCTTAGACCTCAGACTTAAAACTAAGGCTGTCAAATGTGCTTGTTTCATATTTAATGGCAAACAAAAAGAAGGGGTTTGGGGAAGAGATTAGAAATGTAAAAGCTCACCCCCACTCAAAGGGAAAGAGCATGGAGATCTGATGACCCAGGCTGAAAGCTTTTCGCAATGCACAGTCTGTGAACTTACCTAACAGAGAGGCTCACGTTAGCATGTTCAACTTTCAATGTATTTTGTTTTTATAATATACTTGCTTGATTTTCTGTCTAAAGGCGTGGGTTCTTTGCTGGCAAGATTCCAGTTATCTGAGGGACCAAGCAAACCTTCCCCCCTGGTTGTACAGTTCACCAGTGAAGGGAGCACTCTATCCAGCTGTGATATTGAACTTGTTGGAGCCGGGTATCGATTTTCACTTATTAAGAAGAGGTTTGCAGCAGGTAAGAACATGTCAGGTTGTCTTTTCATAAATGTCTGGAGTTACATCTTTTAGCAAACTGGATGGTTAGACTAGTTGGTGCTGTCTCTGAAGCATGTGGTTTTTAGTCTCATTTAATCTGGACAACTACCCCGCCCCCCTTGCTGAATAGTGGAATGCTGGCTGTTTTTTCTTTGTAAAACCAAGCTGAGGTATCTGGTGTACATCCAGTAAAGGCAAGCTATGGTCTGAGATATTTGTTAAACTCCTTCTGGAACTGCATGTCTGCATGCCCTCACACAGTCCAGAAAATAAAAGATCGTCCTCTCTCCCAACTTTGAAACTTCAGTGGAGAAGTCTGGCCAGCACACAAAGAATCCCTCCACTTAACTCGTATATATTTCCCAGAGCAATTTTGTTTGTTTCTCAGAATGTGTATGTGTGCATGTGCATGTCTCTCTGCCCAAGATTTTTAAAAAAATGAAATTTGGGGAGGAAACTGAAATATATGCAGTGCTGAAAAGTGTGAACACCTCAATAGAGAAGCATCATCATACACATTATAGCATATTAATTCTGAATAAGATTAGGCAAAGTCAATGATTAGATCCTTTAAAATGAGTTGGATCCAGTCCTGCTTGGTTTTTATTTGTGCTAATCTCATGATGATCACTAGCAGAACCTTTTTACTAGTGAAACTCTTCCTCCCTTTTTGATCAGTGGGAAGTGCTTGGATCCAATCCAGTATGTTCTGTATGTCTATAGTACATATACCTATATCATTATCTAATGCTGTAGATTGTATTAAATTTGCCTGTCCTTTCTGCTGCTGGGTTCCACCAGCAGGTGAAGCCTTTTTTGTTTCGTTTAGCATTCCCTCAGTGATCTTTCCTTTCTAAAAAGTGTTTTAATTGCTGTTTTTTATGTCTTGTACATATTTTAACTCTGTTTTTAACTATTTTAATTATGTTTCTTTGGGGAGGGCAGATTTTAATGGTTTTAAAATGTGATCTTATCATGTCTGTTTTAAATAGCCACCTTGGTGACCGTTTACAAACTTTGTAAATAAACAAAATAATAATACTCATTTTGAGTGAGTAAAACCTTGTGCTAAAACGTACTCATTCCAAAACAGAGACTATTTTATAGGACTTTTTTCAGTGCTCCCTAAAATTTTCAATTTTCTCCTTGCAAACACTGAAAAAGTCCTTCAGTGGCAGAACTTGGGATGCCATTAAATGAAGAATTATGATGATGATGATGCCAAAATATCTTAGGCTACCTCTGGATAACTGGACTGCAGTAAATGGGGACTTAGAACTGAACTCCTGCCTTTCCATGATTCCCACAGGGGTATAGTGTACATTTCTGGAAATCCTGAATCCTTGGAAAGTTGACATATAAATTCCTTAAACAAAAATCATGCTAGTATCAATAAGAGATGGAAAGATTGCATGAGTGTCTCTTCTTCCTATTCCATTCCCCAGGATACTTCACCTAGTTTGATATTGGAATAGTGTATTGATTCATAACACAGTAAAAAAAAAAATGGGAAGTTCATACAAGCATGCTTTAGCAGCTTTTCAGTATGTTGGTGTGGAAGTTCCTTGTAAATTTGAAGACCATCATAAGGGGGAAGATATGAATAATTTGTGTTACTGGGTGACTTATATTGAAGCCTAGAAGCTAGATTTATTCTAACTGCAAGAGAGACAGACTAGCCAGCCAACATGTGGGCAGAAACGGTGAATGTGTGAATGGGCGCAAGTCACTGTTTGCCTCCCTCCTTTGCTCACCTTGAAGGCTGTATTTTCCCGTAATGTACCTCAAATCCTATTAACAGCCTCCAAAGTGGAGATGATGAAGGAAGGCTGAGGCAGGAGAAAGATAGCAAGAGGCACTGACCCATCCATTGGCCAGCTGACACCTCCTGTGCTGGCAGGCCATAGGAGCCACCACCAAGAGCCAAGCTTGATTTGGGGTTGTGGGATGATTCTGGGGACTGGGGCAGCACTAAACTTTTCAAGATTTGGAAAAGAGATTTTGCAAACTAACTCTGTTTGCCAAGTGCAATTATGATTCGGGTCTTAGGAGTGGGAGGAGAGAATGGCACATTTTAATGCACTTCTTTCATTTTCCTTACAGGAAAATACCTGGCAGATAACTAAGAGAAGTTTATGCAAGTATGTGGAAAATCCATATAACTGAGGACTGCTGTGGGTAGACGGGTTTTATATGCTGTTTGAGGAAAAACTAATTAAATCCTGTACTCGGGACATTTCTGTTGGAAGTGTCAGCAACTTTCCACACTCCTTCCTCAGAAAATACCGTGTTGACCAGTCCTACAGTATTTACTTCTAGATGTAATATTGTTAATGTTTTAAATTGTAATTATTGTATTTGTAAATTGTACTCATTCCAGTAAGGCTGTATTTTGGCAGTTAGACACTTGAGTTTTAGCATTTTACCATTCATGAAATGGGTGTAATTTAAACTGTGGTATATAAATTTAATAGTAGTACTGTTGAATGGCACAATGCTTTCAGAGGTAGATAACATTTTGTCAATATATACAATTTGAATACAATGTTAATAGCTGTGAGAAAGGGGGTGCCTCAAAAAAGAAAGCTAACTGGAAACCTGGAAACAAACTTGATTTTAATTTAGTCCTTAGTACTGTCACATACGTTATTTGGAGTAAACAAGCCTGTCTCTAAATGTTTCGTTGATTTAACTCCAGGACATTTCAGTAAATGTTGGTTATATCCAAAAACAGAACAAATTGATCCCACCCAAAAACTTTTTTATACTTTCAACATAAAAATATTAATTGTTCCAGACAAGATATTTTTTAAGCTTTCAGATAAATGATTAGAGAATTCTGCTAAAGACAAGCCATGTGCTGGAGTAACTCTCTGTTCTTTTCCATTTGTCTGACCTGATGCAGATGTGGAGGAGAAGAGACAAAGCTCTATAGATGTCTCTTTCTTTTCTCCTCCTCCCCACCCTGCCCCGCTATGTAAGCCCTGTTGATATGAATGAAAGCACAGCCATGCTGTTAATGTATTTCCAATTCTTTTCATCAAGGCTTGCATAGGAGATGATACTTGTGAGTCATGCTAATATATAAATAAGTGGCAGCAGACAGCTGAAAGTATACAGTGGCACTACGGAATCCGTAAATCTCTTTTTGATTATGGATTGTGACTGTATGTGTTTGTGTGTTTTTGGCACCAGTCTCAGATTTTGTCACCATGGTTATCTGGTCTCTATGTTTTACACTTAAAATCTGGTGAAGGGAAAAAACAATATACACTTTATATTTTAAAGGTTGGTAGACAAAATCATTACATGAGCTTTAATTCCTGGGAAAAGTGAAAAGAAACCCAAAGATTGTTAGGCAAAATTGGTAGCAAAATCATGAAACTGAAACTGTCAAGATAGTCTTTTTTCAAAAAAAAAAAGTACTTGGGCTTCATGTTTTAACTAGTTGTGAGGCATTTCTTATACTTACTGTGAAGAAAAGTGTAATGTTTTTGTTGATAAAAAATGTCCAATGCCCCCACATTTCTAAAATATTTTCTAGACAATGTTGTTTTATTTCTGTGGCACGTGTTCATTTTGCAGTTAAGCCTTCAGTCTGGATTGCAGCAGGAACTAAACAGCAGGGCTATGAGAGGGCATGGTACGGTGGCAGAGAAGGTCATGAGACTAGTGGGTAGTGTCCATGTGGCTTTTGGGGGGCACAGAACAAGTATTTTTTAAGTTGAGGTCTAAATAGGTTGGCATCCAACTGTCTCATTTGCATGTGGAAAATGGCTGTGCTTGAGAAACAGCTGTGTCTGCAATATATACTGACAAAATTAGAGGCGCTCAGAAATCTGGCCTTGACTACTCAGTACCAAGCACAGGAAGTTCATATCCCACAGAAGTAGAAGCTGAATGGGAAAAATTAGAATTGTTTTCTCTTTTTATAGGGTGAGTTAGAAACCTGATGAGTTAGTTTTAGGGTATAATGCATCACTGGTTTCTGATGAATATGATGAATGTTTATACTATGAATTGCCAGAACTCTGCATGGTCTGAGATGGAAAACAAAGCTTTGTCACGTACTTTGCACTGTTAAAGGTTGAGAAGTTAGAATTGCATTTGATTCAATATCATTCTTTTGGGTGAAAAAAGAATTTGCTTGCTGATGGCATCAGGTGATATCCATTGTGACACTTAGTACTGAAATGCTGAATACTAAATTTCTTCCAAAGTGTTCTGGTCAGTGTTCCCTCTAAGCTGAGCTAGTGTGAGCGAGCTCACAGTTTTTTACCCTCCGGCTCACACGTTTTTGTCTTCGCTCAGGAAGGACGGTTCCAGAGCAAACTAATTTAGGCAGCAGCCAAATTGCTCACTCATAACTTTAATGCCAGCAGCTCACAAAGTAGAATTTTGGCTCACAAGACTCCATAGCTTAGAGAGAGCGTTGGTTCTCATTACAAGATATTAGCATTTTGAGAAATGTATGGACGTTCCTAATGCGACATATGAAGCCAAGTTCATTATTTATGTCCCAACTCACGGCCAGCTAGCCTTCCCTCATTTTCCACCGCATGTGCCACAATGTGTCCCTAATATAATCATAAATACTGCCACCATCAGGGAAGTTCACATATTCTAATGTGAATTAAAAGCTTAATTATATGCCAATGGCACATTTGAAAAGCATCTTATTAACGCATCTTTTTAAAAGCAGATGTTATGGGTAAATAAAGGAGCTTGAATATAGTTAAACCCTGAGCAGACAGTTAGTTGCAGGGGTCATTTGGAGGGGGGACGCGGGGGGACGCCATCCCCCCGGGTGAGGTGCGGGAGGGCGGGGCCTGGAGCTCCCTGCTGGTGCCCACTGGAGGTCGCCGCCGGCTGTGGGGAGGACACACTTCCGGTGATGTCAGGGGGTGTGGCATATGCTAATGAGTTATGCTAATGAGTCCCCCTAGCTCTTTTTCTACGAAATGACCCCTGGTTAGTTGGAAAGAATTATAGTCAAAACAAATTCTTTTCAGTGTGTAACCTAAAGGTACCTCAAGTGAAGCATAGTATTAAAATGGCAGACAACAAGTATAATTCCTAAATATGAGGATTTTCTCCTTTTCTAAAGTAGTAGTTCTTACATCTTTTCAGCAACAGGATCTAACTCATGTCCTCATTCTTAATCTGGAAGTCTATTATACCACAGTTACTGGTAGACCTAGAAATCCAGCCAAACGCCTTTTTAATTGTTGAGAGTCTTTATCAACCACTCTGATCTTCTATTGAAAGATGCGCATAGATGTTAGAAAGAAACAAAGGTTTGCCCAAAGCTGATTTTCTTTGCTCAGACCCCCTCCTCCCATTCTTGCAGAGAGCACAGTTGAACACTTTTTTGTTGTAGAATTTTTTATCTAAGTCCAATTTGTTGTGACTTCCTGGCCTCCTGGATAAATTGAAGTAGTCTCGCCCAACAACTGAGACCCTCCTGAATCAGGAGTAACCCATGATTTAGACTCCTGATTTGTTGGGAGGAAACAAATTCTGGTTTCTCCAGGTGCCCATAAGTTGGCATTGAGACAAGTTTGAGGACTTCTGAAACCAGAAGTTTCTGTTTGTGCTGTATATGTAAAGAGAGCGTACCACAACATACCAGAAATGTGCTCATCACAAACAGACCTCTGTTCATGACATCTAAATGCAACCAAAGAGAGTAAACCCTGTTCTTTAGAAATGGACGCAATTTCTTACCAAGCTGTTGTAGGAAAAGAGACTATTGTGCAAGCTTGATTAAAATAGTAAACAAATGCAGTAGGTACACTTTTCCAAAAATTTTAATTGAATATTGATTCACAGCCTAGAAGTACAACTAGCATTCTTAAAAAAGAAATACTGTAATGTGAGGAACACTCTTGTTAGGACATGGTTTACTTGTTTATTTTAAAAATTCTATGCCTCTCAAGTATCTGCCTAGAACAGGAGAACAGCAAGTGGAATGTTGAAATTACTTTGGACATAATACTGTCATTCTGTCTTGGAATTATTTATCTAGAAACAAGTCCTATTGCTTTTAAAATCTGAGTCACCAATAAATATTAGACCGGCAGTTTAACATTCTGCAAGTAAAAAGGACATTCTAAAATAGTTTTTCTAATACCTCAAAAGTATGGCAATACTGGGCACAATCTACTGCTGCTACATCTCCTTGGTAGTTGAAATGCAGTTCTTTCAGTGTTGTACACATCATTTTTTTTCTAACAACCCAAACATGGTTGACTAATCCTCTTGCTGAGAAAGTACCAGTTTATATTGGTGCATAGTAGTTTTGTACTTCTGAAACATCCAATAGTGATTGTATGGGATTGTCTTCATCTCAAGTCTTGCTAAGGTACAACAACAAATTTGAAGGAGGGGCATGTTGGGTTGCCATCTCCAAGTTGAGAAATTCCTGAAGATTTGTGGGTAGATTCTGGGGATCCTGGGTTTGGGGAGGGCAGGGACCACAGCAGGTATAATGCCATACAATCCACCCTCCAAAGCAGCCATTTTCTCCAGGGAACTAATCTTTGTATTCTGGAAATAAGTTATAATTCTGGGAGATCTCCAGGCCCCACCTGGAGGTTGGCAATCCTAGGGGGAACTTATTAGGGTTGCCAGGCAGGGGGACTTACCAGTGGCAGAACCCCACACTGGTTGATGTTGCTGGTGATGTGCTGACATCACTCCCCATGTGCCCAGAAGTGACATCAGCACATTGCCAGGGCTGCTCTGGCATTTGAACAATGCCAGAGTGTCCCTAACAATGCACCAACATCACTACCAGGCACATGGGAAGTGACATCAGCAGGATGCTGCCAGCATCCCCCCCCCCATTTGTCGCCATTTTCCCACTGGGCGTGGGCAAGCCTCCATCTTATATAGTATTTCTATTTAATTCAAAGAGGCAAATGTATGCTGTCCTCAGTATTTTAACTTTTCATATTATAAGCTAGATAAAATTAATGGTTCAGAAGTATCTCAGCCAGTTGTAATTAATCGAAATCATCATTGGGGAGAACATAGAGGATGAACCTTTCTCTCTTAACTGCTGGTAGATGGATCCTTCTTCTGGAAGGCATGTTCACAGAGGCCTGGCATTTCATCAATTTTT